AGCCGCCACCTCCTCCTCCTCCTCCTCCTCCGCCTCCTCCTCCTCCTCCTGTGTTTGGTGTTCATCAAACTCCATAAAGAATGTCCCATCTGGCCTGCTGTCAATCATGTCCAAAAGCCCGCCCATACAGGAAGTTAGCTGAAGTGAAGAGGAAAGGAGTCATTTACAGATGTGGACCAAAGTCGGCAGAACTTCAGTCACATGACCGCAGCGTCATCACCACCACTTACTTGCTGAGCGTGGAGGCGGAGCCTGAGCGGTGGAAGTGGACAATCTGCCACTTCCCGTCTCTACGGTGCCACACCCTGGTCTCCTCTGATTGGGCGGTGCGTGGCGTTCCGTTGGAGTCGATGTACTGTGTGACCCTGATGTAGGCGATGCAGGCGGCCTCGTCGCCCACCAGGTGGATGTGAGGGTTCAGGATGGTGGTGTGGACGGGTTTACTGTTCTTAGACCACACTGAGGACACGGAGGTCACAGAGGTCACAGAGGGGTCAGGTCTCACACACACACACACACACACACCAAACAGACCAGTTTAACTCACAATTTTCAAAATAAAAGCGGTGAAAATCCAGGCCCTCCACCAGGTTCCCCAAGGCCTCGGGTTCAAAGGCCGTCACAGCAGGATCACACATCTTCCTGTGAGGAGACGAGGAGACGAGGAGACGAGGAGACAAAAAGAGTGTGAGTGACAATAAGAGTCTGATCCTACTGCATGAATCTTTCACAATAAGAGTCTTACTGTCATCACATTAACTCTGTGTGTGTGTGTGTGTGTGTGTGTGTGTGTGTGTGTCGGACCGTGGTCGTCCAGTCACGTCAAGTCTTACGTACGTGTAACTTTCAAAGTCTCCGTTGCTGATGGCCTCGATGAGCTGTTCAGTCACTTTAATGATGTCCTGTTTCCTCACTGAGACAAAGACAAGAGAGACAGACAGGTTCATGTCTCACCCTGTTTGTGTGGGTGAGACAGTCAGACAGACAGAAAGAGGGAGTGTTTTTACCTCTGGTATCTTCATCTTCGATGGTTGTGTTTGTGCTCTCAGAAGATTCCTACAACGACAACGACAACAACGACGACAACGACGACAACAACAACAACAACAACAACGACAACGACAACAACAATGACAACGACAACAACAACGACAACAACGACAACAACAACAACAACGACAACGACAACGACAACAACAACGACAACAACAATGACAACGACAACAACAACGACAACAACAACGACAACGACAACAACAATGACAACGACAACAACAACGACAACAACGACAACAACAACAACAACGACAACGACAACAACAATGACAACGACAACAACAACATACATATTATTACTACTTCTACTACTAGTACTAGTACTACTTCTACTTCTACTACTAGTTCTAGTACTACTTCTACTACTAGTACTACTTCTACTTCTACTACTAGTTCTAGTACTAGTTCTAGTCATGTTGTCCCACCTTGACTCCATCGTTCTTCTTGTTGCTGCCACTTTTTCCTCCTGATCGAGGGACGAGGAGAAAGAGAGAGAGAAGCAGCAGGGTCAGGAAAAAAGGAACAAAGGCAGAGAAAAGGAGAGCCGGCATCGTACCGACAACCGTGGTGAGCAGGAGGGGACGAGGAGAAAAAACACTGACTAAGAAAGGAAATGTGAAAAAAGAAGCAGCCAGTGGAAGAGGGACATGTCCCCGTCTGTCCCCGCAGACAGACAGACAGACAGACAGAGCGAAGGACAGATTTAGGATCGGCTCCGGCACATTCCACAGCTCCTGTCCACACTCAGGAGACACAAGTGAGGGACTACAGCAGCCCGGGACGGACAAACATCAGGAGACAACAGAAGACCTCACAGCCAGGGTTAGGACGTAAAGAGGACAGAGAGAAGGTCAGAGGTTACGGGTCACACTGATGTTGAATTCATCCAGAACCAGGACCAACAACAACCAACTCCAGACGACCTTTGACCTGTCAGGGTTGAGGTCAAGATCTGTGGACTGATCTGGACTTCCAAAATAAAGTTCTGTGACCAAAGTTAAAATGTCATCAACGACCAGGGATTGGTCAGAGTCAGAGTCCAGAGAGAGAGAGAGCGCCGTCTGACGCTCCGCTCCCTCAGAGAGTATTTATAGACGCACGGCCTGGACAGCTGCAGGACACACACACACACACACACACACACACACACACACACTGACGGTGTGAACCTGTTAATAGTTGGTGGTGATCCCATCTTTACCCTTCGGTACTGCCACAGACTAAAGTAGGTCAAAGGTCAAATTCCCAAAACCCCCGATCCCCCCCCCCCCCCCATGAAGAACGGAGCCTTCTGCCCCCCCCACCACTAGAGGGAGCAGGAGTCACCAGAGAACGTACCGGAGAAGTTCCTGGTGGCCAGCATGGTGGTCAGGATCGCCCCCTAGAGGAGAGGAAGGGAGAGGGAAGGAAAGAAGAAAATAAATATCCATTTGGAGAAGATAGAAGGAAGGAAGGAGGGAGGGAGGGAGGAGAGGGGGGAGGGAGGAAAGGAGGGAGGAAAGGAGGGAGGAAAGGAGGGAGGGAGGAAAGAAGGGAGGAAAGGAGGGAGGAAAGGG